AAGTTTTGTTTACTAACTGCGACAAAAAACCCTTTAAATAGTTGAAACAGTGACACCGATCGCGGTGTACACGTACATGTTACACGTCATAAAAATCTCAACAGACAAATTTAAAAAAAAGTGTACGTGAACGTCAAAATATATACAAGTACATGTAGGCGTACAAGTTTAAGATCTCAACCTCTCTATTGTTCAATATAATTTCTCAATTCAATATTCAATTCACTACCTCAATGTTCAATTCAATACATCTTTTTATAATCAGGGTAGATTACATTTGTATCCCTTGAAATGACCGGCTTTGTCCTCATTTTGACAGTTTGACACTCAATGGAGAGATAATTGAGACAGAGAAACTTTTAACGCAGGCTGCCACGGACACAGATAATGTGTTTTTTTAATCGACAGAAGCAAAAGAAGCGTTTTCTTTTGTATCACCACCTTTTACATATTTTTTGGGAATCTGAATACATGTTTTCTTTAACCTAATGATCAGTTTCTTTTTTAAAATGTATCGCATCAAAAAAACAGAATTGTGAGACAAGTATTGCAAAACGTATCGTATTGTGGAGGGGGTGTATGTTTCAGTCCTACTATATAAAGCTATGAAAATAATTTAAGCTATCAACATGATCATTATTTGTAGTTTAAAAGCTGGGCCCTGTGATTATTCTGACGCAAATTTATGGAGTGGTCACAGTGCTAATGCCATAATCGTAGATATTGTAATATTGCTATATTAAAATTATATCTAGTAATTACACATTCATGTAGAAAAAAAACCGCTCTATTGTTAAAATGATGTCCTACAGTCCACGGACCCGGCTTGTGGTATGGCCTAGCTTGTCTAGACACAGTTCGATTACTCTTCATGTAATTAGAAACATGTACTGACGTCTTTATACTTTGAAGTTTGAATATAGAAAATTTTCAATGAAAAAACATATATGAATAAATAAAAAGACAAACCTGTCACCTTCCATGATCATGCAAGTAAAGAAACACATGTACGTAAACCGAAAGTGAAACTAAGTTTTGAAAAAAATTGGGAATTTAGACATGAAATATTCGATCCACTTGTAGTTTTTATTTTTGAAATATACATTGATAAACTAATTCACCATGATAACACATAAGAAATTTCGTCCTCTTTTTAAGGGTTCATAATATTGATATTGATTTTTAAATTGTTCAAATCTGTCGGTTTTTCTTCTTTTTGTTGAAGGGGGGGGGGGGGGTTTTTTGGGTGGTGTTTATAATTTCACTATGACACTGTACTTAAATTTTTTCATGTTAATTGATTTAAGTAATTTAAAATTATCCAAATGCTGAATGAGTTATTGTGCTTCATACCTTTTAGACCAAATGAAATTCAAATGATGTCGATTTTTTTTTTACCTTTATTTGGTTCCTAGTTTAGATTGAAAATTTACTTTTAAAATATCACGCTATGCATACTAATAGATATGAACATGATAAACTTACTTGTCAAGCTGAGAAAGGAACTCTATATAATAAGTAAGGCAGTTGACAACGCCTCTACTTATAGAGTAGTTGTGTACCATACGAACACAGGAAGCCATACGGAAGAAGGGTGACACCAATGTTTCCTACCAGTACACCGTCTACCTGTCTACCTGCCACCTCCACCTGTGTATTTACCATCTCAATATACCGCCCCCTTTACCTATCGCCAGGGGTACTTAATCATTTCAGGGCTACCAGGGCCATCTGGGATTTCAATAAAATTCAGTTCCGTAAAAATCTTAATTTTATTGATTATTAGGTATTTTTTTGGAAAACAATTTCTACATGTAATACCATTAAAACAGATAAAGTTCATATTCAATACATTTGAATACAACTTATTATAATTGATATATTGAAAACCAATTAAAAAAAATGTGTAAAAAATATTTATATATAAATTGTGAAATCAACTTACGTGTTCTTCTGTATTGACTGCTTTAAAAGTGTCTGCTGCCTTTTCTTTCCAAAAGTCTTGTGTTTGTAACGCTATTTTCAAAGCATTTATAAATTAATCTATTTAAAAAAACCCAAACAAACCGACGTCGGTAATTACACTTTCTGTAATTTAGAGTTAGGTCAGGCAATCTGGAAACATATAATTAATTATACGATTACTTACCAGGAATTAAAAACTGATTAATTGTAAATAGTTTATATTTAGATCTATATTAGTCGAAGAAATAATTAAAAAAAGAAATAATGCTAAATACTTGTAAGTAAACTATATTATATTAATAAGAATGGAAATTATTCGTTTCGTCATAAAACGTTCTGTATTTTATAACAATCCTATCGTGTTTTGCGTGTATCCTATCGTGAAAACCGTTTATCAGGGACTGATTGTGTTTTGCGTTTATCGTGTTTTGCGTTTATCGGGTTTTCCGTTTATCGTGTTTTCCGTTTATCCTATCGTGCGTGTATCCTGTCCTATCGTGCGTGTATCCTATCGTATCGTGCGTGTATCCTATCGTATCGTGCGTGTATCCTATCGTATCGTGTATCCTGTAAAGAATAACGATGCGGGTACTGTACCACAACCTATTACATATTTTCCAAGGCGTGTGAAGTCGAGCACATACATGAAAATGTGTGAAGCTGGACACATATGTAAACACACTAACATTTACCACAGACATAAAAACAAATCTAAACTTAATCAAACATAGACAGACTCACGGGGTGAAGCTGGACTCGTACATGATCTCATGCATTTTGCAAACTGCATCCCCGTGATCTTATTCTAATAGATTTTTCAACATATTTTGTGTTTGTGAATATGTAAAATGCATCATTTTGCATTACAAGTTGAAGATGTTATTAGCCTGTGTATAATGAGCGCAAATCAAATAGCCTTTTATGTAATTTTTTTCACATTTTAATTCAATTTAAACTGCAAAGTTTATTTTATATATGTACATGCACCAGAAAGAATAAATATTTTACATCTATTAGTATTATATTTTAAAGTGAAATGACACCTCCATTTCATAAGCAGAAATGTGAAATTTATACTTGTTATTAGGTCTTTCCACCTTTCTGTGGAAAGACCTATTGAAATTCTTCTGTTTATTAGGTCTTTCCACCTTTCTGTGGAAAGACCTATTGATTTCCTTCTGTTTCTTCTTTTCCTTTTTTATTATTTTTCTGCCGTGTGATTTTTTGTTTCAAGATTTATCGAAAAGATTTATAGTCCATACGAATGTACTCCGTAAAAGATTATTGCAGTCACCCTGCCTAAATGAACCTTGACCGCTTTCGAGGTTATTGCCCCTTTCGAAAGAAATGCTTGTTATCGCTACTTCTTTCTAAAGTCTAAACCATAGAGGTATGAAACCTTCACCAATGTCTTCGACTAATTAAGGAGATTCTTCAATCTATTCATAGCGAAAGCATTCGGTGACCCCTTCAATGAGTTATTGCCCCTTAAAGTTTTTGAATCTAACAAATAATTATTTTTTTTTAAAACGACAAGTTGTAGACACATGGGACCAACTGCGTAGACTTCATTGACCTTTGACCTTTAAACTCATGTAAAGGTCAAAGGTCAAGGTCATTCCAAAAATGAGAAATTTTGCTCTTTTTATATCTCTTTTGTCTTTTTACATATACTTAATGTCTATGCATCATTAGTATGTACACTTAAAACTGTTTCAAAGATTTCCTTCTTGTCCCATAACATTCACCCCTTTAAAGGTTATCTCCCCTTGTGCGAAAAACCTTGTTATCTCTATTCCTCCGAAACTGTAGACCGCAGAGGCACCAAACCTTCACTAATGTCCTCAGGGTCTTTAGGCCTAACTTCAATGTAAAAGTACAAAAGCATCTGATTACCCTTATATTAGTTATTGCCCTTTACCTCTTTGTATTTACTTTTAAACCTTATAACTTGAAAACTTTAAGTCATAGAAGCATGGGTTCAAGGTCAAAGGTCAAGGTCATTTTAAATTTTTTTTTTCATTTTTTCTGTGGTTTAAGAGAGTTTTCCTTTCTTTTCATGGAATTTAATTTTTAAGAGTCAGATGTAAAACAAATTTGAAATTCAAAGAAGGTGAATGACCTTGATTGTTCTGTGAACAATAAGTCTCCTAGTTATTCTTTTTTATTTTTTTTTTATTTTTTTTCCGCCGCATGTTTTTTTGTTTAAAGATTTATTGAAAAGGTTTATAGTCCATAAGAATGTACTCTTTAAAAGATTATTGCAGTTCACCCTGCGTAAATGAACCTTGACCCCTTTCGAAGTTATTGCCCCTTTCGCAAGAAATGCTCGTTATCGCTACTCCTCTGAAACCGTAAACCGTAGAGGTACGAAACCTTCACCAATGTCTTCGACTAATTAAGGGGACTCCTCAATCTGTTCATTGCTAAAGCATTCGGTGACCCCTTCAATGAGTTATTGCCCCTGAAACTTTTTGAATTTTACAAATAATTAAAAATTTTCAAAACGAGAAGTCGTAGAGACATGGGACCAACTGCATAAGATTCATTGACCTTTGACCATAAAATTTTTGCAAAGGTCAAAGGTCAAGGTCATTCCAAAAATGAGAAATAAAGCTCTTTTTATATCTCCATTGTGTGCAGGTAAATATTTTGCATAAAGATGTATTAGAGCTTTATTCTAGGTGGTAAGCTAGTTAACAGATTCTAATACATTAGCTCATGTACACATAAAACCAGGTCAGAAAAGTTGAAATTATGTAAAAAGCTTTCTTCCATAGTCTGATTCAAATTTTTTTTCCAAAACATGATCTCCTGGGATAGGATGGGTCCACAATAGGTGACCCAAAACAGAATATTCAGGGGTAAAAAATCTAATGTAGAATAGCAAGATCATTTTGACCAATGTGAGCATTGTGGCCCATGGGCCTTTTTAAGAAACTATAACCACATAATATTGGTCCTATTAGTGCATAAAAGAATTTGCTTCTACTTTTATAAGGTGACACTTGAAGTAATATTTATTATGCTTTCAGGAACCATCAAGTACTTGGAATGGTAATTTACCTAAAGCTGCCACAACCATTTTACATCAACATGCCATCCAGGGGGATGTCACAGACGTTCAACAGGCAGTCTGGTAAATAGACAATCTACCTTGATCATATTAGTACAGTACAACTTTGTTATAACAAAATCACTGGGACCTTTGAAATTACTTCACTTTATTTGTTATATCAGTATAATGAATTCATTAAATTTATATAGCTAGAGATCCAAGATAACTTCACTATATCCGTGAATTAACAATATCTGTGTTTACTGAATTGAGGCAATGAAACTAACATCCAAAATAATTTTCTGAACTAAGCAGCTGATCACGAATGTTACCTACAGATGTCTCTTATGTATTTAGTCAAAGTGAACATGAATAGGAATGAACTTGTTCTACAAAGTACTTATTGAGCCTCTATATCTCCAGCAGATGGATGGCCTACAGCAGGAAGCACATGGAGTATACCTTTAGTTATGAGCTTCTTCTTAGACTGTTAGAAGACTTGGACAATAAATGGACTGCAGATTCCTTGTCACGAGAAGAGGTACTGTGATTTAATTTGGAATTAAATTCAAGAATGGATTCTTCTCCAAAGACTAAACGGTGCTTCGTCCAAAATCTTGTTGCATTCCATTCATATTAAAAAATTTGATTTTGGGAAGTAAGGTTTCCTTTCTGATTATGCATTTCAGGAGCAGTGTTTGAACGAGTCCTTTTCGACCTTCAAAGACTACTGCACAAGCTTGATCAAAAAACGAAGAGAGGTTTACCCTTATTGCAACAAACATGCTTTGAATCGACTTCACCAAATGATCAAGTAGGTACTCTCTACTAGTTGTGTTTATAAGGAAATGGGCTCAGTTCTTAGATTATCAATCTTTTTACACTAACACAAGTTTTCTTGTTACATCACAAATGAACCCTTGGTGGTACATTCATTATATGTTTCCTACTACAGAGTTTTGGTGAAAATCTACAGCATGAAAGTCTTCAAATATGTGTGTCCCTTTGCCAAGGAATTGCACTCAGAAATTATCACAGCTGCAAAGGTTCTTATACTATCTGTACTTAAACCAATGAAATATTTTTAAGGTGATATGAAACATTTATAGAATTTTTCCTAAGAGGTAATTAAATGTTTGATTTATCATATTCTTTTCTTCAGAGAGGAACACTTGAATGGTATGAACGAGCAATTCATATGGCTAAAAAGCAATCCAAGGTAAAAAGTAGGAACAAAATGAAGTTGACTTCATATGGTTTGAACTGCAACAAAGGATATAGGTAATTCTTGATACAAATCTGCCTTTAGAAAGTGTACAAAAAATTCCTGAGGCAATGTTTTCTTTCCCCAGCGACACACGGCAGACCAGGAGGAGGACATTATATACAGCTTGATTGATCTGACCAATTGTCTCAATGCTGATCTATACGGGACTATCAACGAATACCAGAAAATATTTAACTTGTACGTACTATGGTTAAAAATATATAACATACTGTAGTAAAATATGATGGAAGTTGTTTTACAGTTCAGATGAATTTTTGTAAAAAGAACTTTTTTTAACAAAAGAAAACTTAATTATAGAAAAATTTAAGCTTTATTTATTGGAGAGTTTAAAAAATTTAATTATTGTTGATTAATAAAAATTAATGCTTAATTTAATTTAAATTTTTTTTGCAGAATTGCCAACGTCAACTATTTCAGTGTTACTTATAAGCAACTAGAAAAATTGGTGAGTTTGACATTCAAAAATATTGAGAAACTAGTGCTAATTACAGATGTTCCCCAAACGCTCCCCAACTCCCTTTTATAGTCATATTCCCTGTAAGCGTAATTAAATAAGACAAACTTTATGCATTTGAGACTTTAACAACGTTTACCCAGAAGTGTACTATGTTCATTCAAATTTTATTATTGCACACTTGCGCATGTTAATGCATGTGCGTAATGACCATATCATATTCTCTACACAATCTGTATGTTTTAATATGCTAAATATTAAAGTATTTAATCCAAAAGTATAAAAAAAAACGCTCATTCAAGTGTATTTTTGATTTTACCCATTTCACGTGCACGCACGTGCATACATGAGCATGGTAACCATACCTTCTTGTAGAAGTCCATTACATCTATCTATGTTCTAAATCCCACCCCGTTTGGTTGAAAACCAAGGGAGTTATAGCTGTTTAAAGTTTCAGCCAATCAGATTGTAGCACACGTACACGCACGTGTATGTATGTGCATGGTGACCATACCTTCTTATAGAAGTCCATTATATGTATCTTTGATTCAAATCCCAACCTGATTGATTGAAAACCAAGGGAGTTATAGCTGTTTTAAGTTTCAGCCAATCAGATTGCAGCATTAGTACACGCACATGCATGCATGTGCATGGTGACCATACTTTTTTGTAGAAGTCCATTATATATATCTATGTTCCAAATCCCATCCTGTTTGGTTGAAAACCAAGGGAGTTATAGCTATTTAAAATTTCAGCCAATCAGATTGCAGCGCACGTGCATGCACGTGATTTCATAATAATTGTTATATGTCATTTTGTAGGATATCTTAATGCATGGCTATGTTCAAAATTTCAAAGGATTTCGTCAAAAAACAAGAAAGATATTGAGACTTTAGTTTCAGCCAATCAGAGCGTAGCGCACGTGCATGCGCGTGAGATCTTGCCATATTGACCACGTCATCTTGTTTATACTACTAATACATCCTTACATTATGAGTTTCAAAACATTTCATCAAAAAATAGAAAAGTTACGGCAATATACATTATATTGGTCATTCACGTGTTGCACGTGCGCGCTCTTGCAAGCACGTGCGCGCAAAATGACCTTCGTTCCGCAAATCTACATAACATGTCTACTGACCCTAAAAACATTTCACCTTAGTTGGATGTGTAGTTTACGAGATCATTCGCGGACAAAAAAGTGCCCAGGAAGAAGAAAAATAATAATAACTAGAAACGATCTCGTTGCTAGCAACGAGAGGTCTTCCGTCCGATTTAGGAAAAAAAATCTCGTATAATCGAGCTGAAAAGTGATTCAAAATTTTTGTCGCAAAGAGGATTGAACCCATGTCGCCTTTTTCTGTTTTATCCCCAACGCGCAAACCATAAAGCTTTTGGGAGTACTGCTCTAAATATACTTGTGTGTATACTTTTGCAACAGTACACCTGTCTAAGAATCATAAAAGGCGGGTCACTATTAATAATTTGCGCCAAACGCCACGAGTAAATATTCGCGCATTTTCATACATTTTATTTGCTAAAAACTCGACTCTGCAGAACCAGAGAAGGTTTTCTACAGGTCCATTCCCCATCACGGGGATGACCTTACCTGCACATTGGCACCATGTGTATTATCCGCGCAGCCTATTTATGAGAAAATGAAATGAATATTTTTTAGTGTTTAAGAAAACGTTGAACCTACGCTTGCGAAAGTTCTAAGACATTCAAAGATATTTAATTTCTTCTTTATCAAATCAAGAAACTGATTATACGTTAAATCAGCAAATAGGGGCCTTTACTTATGCCATGAATATCACAGAAAAAGATTCAAAATTTTGGTCGCAAAGAGGATTGAACCCATATCGCCTTTTTCTGTTTTATCCCCAACGTGCAAACCATTAAGCTTTTGGGAGTACTGCTCTAAATATACTTGTGTGTATACTTTTGCAACAGTACACCTGTCTAAGAATCATAAAAGGCGGGTCACTATTAATAATTTGCGCCAAACGCCAGGAGTAAATATTGGCGCATTTTCTTTGAACTTATCTATTAAATTGGTGTGATAGCTGCAATGAAATAAAATAAATAAAACGTTCTTATCGCCTTTATTTTATTTCGACGTTTAAAAAGTCTTTGTACACATTACATATATCGTATCTAGCCCAGTTACACTTAAGTAGTGAAACGGAAATTAAGTGTTAAGATCGACACTGAATTGCAACGTACTACTACGTGAAAGTCCAAGTAGTTTTGTTTACATTTCATGCATTCGTATGTCAGAATGGTTTAATCAAACGCTCAGCTGCCTCCATAAACCCCAATTGCGAAATGGCGGAATTGACAAAGACAGCCGCCATCTGGGGCCCGCTTCAGATTTTCAAATATTAATATCTAGAATTCAGATCAGCCAATTTTCAAACAACTTAGATAGTAATAATCTAATTCTTAAGATGAATACTTTTGATCAATAATGCATAACAAAGAATTGATCATTAGAGAGTTATAGATAAAAGACTTTTGGCCCCTCTTAGCCCCTAACTTGAAGGGTCAGCCCTATTTTTTTTATATCAAATGAAAGGTCTTGCAATATTGAACATTTTGTCTTCAATATGTTTTAACAAATTATGAACAGGAGTGAAGATATGAGACAAAATGCGTCAAATTTTGTGAGATATTTCTGAGACATTTTTTCGGCCCTACCGAACTTCGGTGCCTTTTGCGCTAGAAAGATTTGGAGACCCAATTACAACTCAACAAACCTTCCTCTATTTTCCCTGAAAATCTCAAGTCCATATCTTAAGTCGTTTCGGAGGAGTTTCCCGGACAAGCCGACCCTCTGAAAATCAGAAAATCGTCCATATCTCACGACCGGAAGTGAGATAATCAAAAAGGAAAAAAACCTATCAAGATCAATTAAATATCTTTCAGATCTGAAAGTTTGGTAGAAATCGGACGAGCCATCTCTAGAAATCGCTTGCACAAAATCGGTTGGAAGAATAATAATAATAATAGGGAAAAAGAAACCGAACGAAAACAAGAAGGTCTTCCGTTGGAGACGGAAGACCTTAACTAGAGCCGAGCTCGTTGCAAAGCAACGAGTAGGTCTTCCGTCCTGTTTGACCGGAAGTAGATTTTATTTTTAACAAAAGTGAGAAATAACGCCCAGAAATAACTTGAATCCTCTAAAGCTATGTTAATCATTGCAAAAATAAGCCATTTTTTGCTACTTCCGGTGTGACCGGAAGTGACGACGACGGACGGAAAATAATTTTTTATTGTCCCAGAGACATCTGTTACCTAAAAACGTGTCAAGAACGGCTAAAATTCGCGTTTTCCGACTACTTCCGGTTTGGCCGGAAGAGACATCGCCGGACGAATTTTGACGACGCCAATACATTAAGCTTGACATTTTGAACAACTTTGCTTCTTTGATGTATTAAAAATTCTTTATAGATTTTGAGATATAAAGAAAAAACTTTTGGCCCCTTCAGGCCCCTAAATTTAGGGGCTAGCCCTTTTGTCGAGATATCATTAGAAAGGTCTTGGAATTCTACACTTCTTTTGTTCAATATGTCTTAACAAAATATTTTCAGGTAAAAAAATATCGTAGAAAAGGTGTAAAAAATTTGAAATTCAAGATACGACTATTTTCGGGCCATAGCGAGCGCCGACGTGCGTCATTTCCGGTAAATTTGATATACCTTATGCACCTTTCCAAACTTAGCTCTACCTAACCTCAAAGTTTGAAGTTTCTATCTAGAGCCGTTTTTCGGGAAAACTGTGGACAAAATGACCCTTAAAAATCAGAAAATCGACGATATCTCTAGACCGGAAGTGACGTCATCAAAACGGAAAAAAACGCATAAGGTTCAAATAATGTTCCATAAGTCCTGAAAGTTTCATAAGATTTTGTTTGGCCGTTTTCGAGAAATCGCGTGCACAAAATCGGTAAGAAAAAAAAAAATAATAATAAAAGTGAAAAAGAAACCGAAGAAAAACAATAAGGTCTTCCGCTGAAGACGGAAGACCTTAATAAGAAACAGAGTAAAAACAATATGTTCCCCAACTTCGTTTGGGGAACATAACAAAGAACACAGGGTTTATGGTTAATATTTGAAATGAGTTTTCTCCCCTTTAAGTCTGCAACAGATCATTTCAAGTAGTATTTTTCTTTGACCATCTTTCATTTAACTCTTATAGCATGTATGTACATGTATTGCTTATGTCCTAATCATTACTACTGTATAATCTGGAACATATATTCTTTTTTCCTTTTCTTGTCAAACAATAAACAAAATATTCAAAGTATATGAATTCAATTGATTTGTAGACTGTTATAAGGAAATGGTAAATACTTAATTTGTAAAGACTGGAAGCCAAACATTAAGTTAGATTTTTGATTTATTTTAGTATAAAGGTTTATAAGTCCATTCCAGAACCATGCCAATATATTGTCTGTGTCTTGAGAGCTTATATGTCTTGTGTTTTTCCCTGTAGCATTCCAGTCATGTCGTCAAGAATCTCGCGGAAGAGGTCGGTGTAGCTCTCTTCTTCACTGATTTCCTTCCCTGTTGCACAGTCTTTTGTCTATCTCTATGTGTGTATATGCTGTAAAATTTTACCAGATACATTCCAAGAATTTTAAGCTCACCTGAGCTGCTCAAGTGCACACTTTTCTGATCATAGTAACGTTGTCTGGTTTTAAACTTTTCACATTTTCCACTTCTCTTCAAAATCCCTTGGCTAATTTTAACCAAATTTGGAAAAAGAAATCTTGGGTAAAGGAAATTTTAAATTTTAACATAAAAGACTAAGCACCCTTTCAAAAAGAGATTACTAAGAAAAAGCAAAATTAATAATTTTTTAAAAATAAAAATTCCTCCTAAGAACTGCTGGGCCTTGAAATACATATTTGTATGGAAGCTTCCTGATTTAGTGTAATGTGTAATTTTTCAAATCAGGTCCCCTGTGTAATAGCTATGTATCAATATTGGTCCTCTCTGTCAATTTTTATGAAGACTTCAATTTGAAAGAGAATATTTTTATAGTCACCTTTTTTTCTAATGTCTAAAACATGTATAGGATAAATAGTTTTTGTCTGCAGTGCTTCCTGAAGCCTCGTCAATGATTTGTGTTTTAATGCATAAAGTTTTTGAATCCATATACATTGTATCTCAACAATGATTGGTTCAGTCAATTTCTAGCTCCAGAAAGATGCCAGAAGATTGATTTTTAACAGCTTATCACAAGCACAGTTATGCACACCCCTTCTATGTCTTTACTATTCTTACAGAGTTTAATGCTTATTGGTGTTTTAACACTTCCTTGGCACTATTGAAATGCATTTTACTGCTTTTGAAAATCTAATTAACCAAGGTGTAACATCTACATTACCAGGCAATTTTGTTATGATTCATTATGAGTCATATTGTAAACAATTCTTAAAAGGATTTGTGTTTATTATGCTCGCTAAATAAGAATTACTGACCTATAAAGATAAAAGTGATTCTTTTGAAAAGAACATCATGAGGTTTTCTGACTGAACAAATGATATTTTGTTATGTATTTCAGCTTGGTGAAGAGTTCACTAACTGCATGAAGAAGACAACATTCAGTAAAGGAAACAAAGTATTGGAGGGAATGCTGGGAACGACCTACTTTGAGCTATACCTCGCTCTACAAGAGTTCTGTAACTATGGATGGGAGCACCTTCCTGAAAAGTATGAACATCAGAAAGGCTTGTTAATACTGTTGATCACTACATTTTTGTGACACTTTACTTTTGTAAGATAGTCATTAATTAACTCTTTATTAGCGAAACAAAATTACAAATTATGGTTATTGCTATATAAACGCAAGAATGAAATTTTTGTGGGCAAACTTGCTTATGTAATCATGTGAAAATAAAGTTATCGTGAATAGAAGGTGATTTATAGTACAATATCCTTGAAATCTGATTTGATTTAAAGCCAGATATCTAATATACATGTATTATTTTCAGTCATGACCCTTTAGAAATAGAACACTACTACAAATGGTTCCATTTTGCTGTAACTCAGTGGATTTCTGTGGCACAGGAGAAGGCTATCCATCGAATACACAAAGCCATTGAGCTTGATAAGGTGAGGTTTCTTGGTACCTGTACTTATCTAAATTTTGGAAATGGATTCTCAAATAAATGAGCCTCATATATATCTGTATGTAAGGCGGTACTATACTTCTCTTATTGTGTTCTTTCTGTATTAGTCCAATCTGTAAATTTTCAGTTTGTAATCTCTGTATTATATACAGCATCTATCATCCAAGGTTTGTATCTTTAAATGGATGTGCACTTGTTTTGGGTGAGAGCACTGTCAAAAATGTAATAATTCAGAGTTATTTCCCTTTAATCATGTGATCATTGCTAAGATATTGGCATGTTATCCAGTTTTAATATTTTCAGTGTCTGACTGTTGTGTCATAAAGCATTGCACATTTATAAAACTAATAATGCACTGCTATATAACATTTGATATCATTTAACACGTACTGTTTAAGTATATGTGTTCAAATTGACTGTATGTATTGTGTGTAAATGGCACATTGACTATTTTGTGTTAGATTTTTCTTGTTTTTATCCGTGAATGGTAATTATACTATTTTAAAAGAAAGAAACATGCAATAAATTATGCAAATAAACTTGTGATCGGAGAAAACATCTTTTTAAATTGTTTTTTAGTTGATGATGATTTTAAATCTTTTCTTCCTTCAGACAGCTGATGTAGGAGGAGGAGGAGCCAAGTTCAGCACCTCGGCTGTTGATGTGTGCTGTTGTTTCTCTCAGGTTTAACTATTTATTTATTCATTTAATGTCAAATTTTCATTGAATACAAATCTTTGTAGAATTCTTACTGATAGTTAAATATGAGCATGATTGTACTGTATTGTCTACCAAGAATTTTGTTTCTGTAGCAGTTGTCTTTTTAGATTTCAGAGTTCTGGAGACAGCTTGCCTGGCCTGATCTTGTCGATGCATATTCCATGGTCTCAAAATTAACAAAGGTAGGACATAACAATAAGGCTAGAATTACTTGTACGTAAATAGAGATTGCATACCTTATGAACAGTTAGTTAAGTTAAAAGTATTTTGTCAAAACTTGTGAGTGCAAAAATAAATGAATTTATTTGGGAAAAAATTCCTAAAATTTGTTTATCAACAGGATATGTGTGAATGTGCAAAGATATATGCCGACTCGGTCCACCAGAAACTCATTGACAAAGGCTATTATGATGAGGAAGGACAATTTGATGTCACAGAACAGGTAAGTAAGGGGGTGAGAGAATAGCTATAGTATGGGTGTCATAGAACTGGTAGGTAAAGGTGTAGGAGAACAGCAAAAATTTGGTATCAGAAAACAGGTAAGTAAAGTTATCAAAAAATTGGTAAAAATAGTGCCCTAGATCAGTAAGCATGGGTGTATAGAAAACGTAGAGGGGTAGGTTCTCACAGGACAGGTAAGGGTAGTTGTCACAGAACAGGCAGATCATGCAAGAGTAAAAAATTATAACAACAAGCTACAGAATGATTTTCTTGTATATTTATCAATTAACTTAGCATAATAATTCTGCAAAATGAAACAAATATATTGTCTGTTTTACAGCTGTGTATTACTATAAATAACATTGAACAAGTTCGGAGGGCCTTAAAACAACTTCCAGAAACAATGAATTTTGTGGAAATACAGCATGCAGTGGAGCAGAGTCATGAGACGGAATCAAAAGAGAATCTGCACACCACAGTGAGGGAGGCTGACCAGATCATGTTGGAGAAGATCCAGCAAGTGGTGGATCGTGTGGCTGATAAGGTCAGATATTATATAACAGGGGTGTATTCTGTCAAGGATTTTAATGGAGGTTTTGTAAATTGTCACTTTTACTAGTAATATTCTAACCATAAAAAATATGGAGGGAATGAAATTTAAGCAGATTATTATTATTTTTCATTTTGATTCTTTTTATTTGATAAAAGATGCGTCCAGACATTAAGAGTGATGTATTCCATTTGAACTGGGCCCCAGAATCTGTTCCAGCTGAGGAGGTAGGTCTTCTGAATTTACCTGTTGATTTTAAGGCTGGGCTTTAGCTTTATGTCAACAGTCAGCTTTCTTGTAGTTTAATATTTCATGTAGAAGGATATGGAGATAACGAACAGTATTCAATCTCAACGTCCATTAAACAATACACAAAATAAGAGCAGAGCAAACAGAATATTAAGAATATTAATGTAGTTAAAATTAGTGAAGATTATAATTATATCTGTCTGTTACCTTGCAAATATGATGCATAATATAAATTCGAGAGAACAATAATCTTTGAATGCAGTAATATACTTAATTCAGGATTATTTTCACCCCATAATACAATGTATTGTCGTTCTTGTATACACTTGCTGACAATTTTGCCCATTTAGTTATACCATTTACACTTCTGATTAAGAAATTATATGTCTTTGAATTTGCTCCATCTTTTGACCTGGGTGAAAGTGGTAAAAAATTAAATGGAAGTGAATATTTCTGAGTACTAGTATACTGCAGATGAAGGCTGTAGGTACAGTGTATATATCCATCATTTCAGGCTGTTGAGGATCTGATGAAGTACCTGGACAGTAACCTTTTGACCTTGAACCAGTACCTACTTAAGTCCAACTTTGACCGGATCCTTCAGTCCATCTGGGTGGAAGTCCTCGAGGAATTCAACGACGTTCTAGTCACGGAAGAATCGGTAAGGGAAAGATGAACTGTTGTTAGTTGTGCCTCTGTTAAGAAAGGCGAGGGAAGTTGTACATATATTATTGCTAACAATGTCTGTTCTATTTTTATAGAGGATGCCTGTCATATACAAAAGAATGTATGAAGCCTTAGGACTGTTGGTAGATTTCTTTCATGCTGATGAGAAAGGATTAGAAATGAAGAAAATAACAACAGAAGAGTATATTGTATGTGTAATTTTTTCAAAATTGAATGTAGCCAGCTATTAAAGTGATGTTGAATTGATGCTATGAATGTTTCATTGCAGAAATTGAAAAAATTGCTGTCCCTATATAAGAAAGACACTTTGAAGTTAATTACAATTTTCTACGAAGAGAAACTCAAACAACAGGTAAGATTAATTGTTTTCTTGAAATGGTCAACTTTAACAAATAATTGGGTTATGTCATGGTACCTCAGTCAAAAGAATGCTTGCTCCATGATCAGAATGTCTTGTTTTTGAATCCCTGACCTAAGTCATAAAAAAGTAAGAGCTTTTCCTTTGCCAAGCGCTCAGCTCTTTGAAATGAAATTTGTGGGTCCTTCGGATGAGACCTTAAAATTCTAGGCCCTGTGTAACGAAATCTGTTGGCATGATGAAGAACCCCCACTGCTCAGTGGCCATGAGTGCCACATAAAGGTCTAAATTTGAAGTCTTTCACCAGTTTATGATGACGTCTCTATATGAGTATCAAATTCTTGAAAGGGATGTAAAACAGCATACAATCAAATGATCAATCAAAAGGCCTAGGAGCAGCGAAAAAAAATATTGAATGGGCATGAAGTTACTGAATTATATATACCCACTGCATTGGAAGATTTTTTTTGAAAGAAGAAAATGTGTTGTGAAAGCAAAGTTTTAAGTAACACTATCCTTAACAACAGAAGAGTTTCATGCCAATTATGATGAATTTGATCGGATTAATAGAGGTACTAAGTGAAATTAATTGTGCTTTGTAAAATTCATTATGAACTTTATTCTTATATATTCACTTAAATTGTCTTTGTGCAATGATTTCAGTCTCAATATCTGAAGTTAATGAAGATGATTTGAGCTAACCTGTGCATGATCTGAATTATGCATGTTTATCTTTTTGATAGGCTGAGTTTAAATCTAAAGAATTTGGAGTATTAAATGTTAGAATGTGCTACAGAAATGAAACAGGCACCATGTTCGTTGAAAGTAGGTACAGCCGATAATATTTCTTATTCCTTATGTAGCTTTTAAGAATTAAGATACATGTGTACAAATTGCATTTTAGCACTTGTCAGAAAAAAGTAAACAATTTAAAGGCATTTCTGTTGAAGAGAGTTATGAGCAACAAGATTTTGTGTCTGTAGAAATTGACTAACTTGTTTTTACCTTCTCTTGTAGTATTAAATGCAAAGGATGTCATTCCATTGGATGCAAATGGTAAGTTTTTGTAACCAATGGGATATGTTAAACTTTCCTTCCTTCCGTATTTATAGAGGGAAGTTCATCAGAACTATGTGTTTGGAGAGGTATATTTTAATCCCTATGCAGCATATGTGAACAACAAGTTAAGTTTATCAAAGAAGATGGGGGGATAAGGCGGGCGAAGTGCCTATAGTGCGACAGATAAGAAGTGAGAAATTAAATCTCAATTATATCTAAATTTTATTTGATATTTTATCTAATAATAAGGTATATTTGTAAGACTCCAAAGTGCGATGGTGACGCCAAAGTCCGATGGTCTCGCCAAAGCCCGATGGTCTGCGCCAAACCCCGATGGCTCGCTGTCTTTACGGACGCCAAAGACGCTAAAGTGCGATGGTCTGACACGCCAAAGTCTGATGGTGCAGAAGAACAATTAACGTTTATGACGTCACAATAGTCCGACGTCATGACGTTATTCTGCATTCAAAATCCATTGATTCGGCATTCGTCTAACATACGTTTTTACTGATATTGCTTTTTGTTTTCACCCACCAGAGGTATAAGGGTTAGTCCTCGTGCACCATTCGAGTGATAAGGGTTAGTCCTTGAACACCTTGAACACTGTTTCTTCCCTAGAGATTTTAGGGTTAGAACTCACACACTATTGGACTGATTTAGATTTTGATTGGTCCTGCACTATGATAGTTAGGTTAGAGTTGATACTCATTGTTCGACTGATAAGTCTTAGTTTCGCATCCAAAAGATGAGGGTTAGTATTTGTATTTATGATATTTTGTATTTATATATTGGCATTGCGTGGCATCACAGTTTGGCACAGCAGTACTATGACGTCCTAAACGTTGACTGTTTTCTGCGCCATCGGACTTTAGCGTGTCAAACCATCGGGGTTTGGCGCAGACCATCGGACTTCGGCGTGACTATCGGACTTTGGAGTCTCATCGCACTTTGGAGTCCTACATATTTAATGTAAAATATGTACAATTTACAAAAATCTCACAAAGATAGAAAATATTTGCCTGTGAAAAAGCATACACACACTAAAAAGAACAAAAACGATCATTTTCTCATACTTAAACAAAATTTTTCAATATGAGTGGGTCTTCGCTCCATTTTTTTTTATCCTAAAAGTTTGCAATAGAATATACAGTTTTTGGTTGACAAAAACATGGAGCGAAGACCCAATATACCCTTAGAGTACACTTTTATGGCAAAATATTCGAATCTTTCCGAGAGATACTTCAAGTCCATTAAGTCAAGGGTCATATCACAAACATGATTTAAATGCCCAATATCATCATGTGCCATGTAGCATAGTGGTTAGCGCATTAGTCTCAATCTCAAAACAGTATGATTTTTATTGCTAGGGTTCGAATCCCACGAATGCCAAATAATATTTTTATAAAAGGAATTTTTTACGATAATTTTTCTCTCTCAAAAAAATTTTTTTTCTAATAATTTCATAAATTTCAATAATGAGAAGTTAATTCAAATACTCAATTCACATATTGAATATGATTTCTTAATATCGGACACTATAGGCATTCTGCCCGCCTTGTCCCCCCATCTTCTTAAATATAGTCTGATGCTTTTATATTAAATAGGTCTGTTTCTCACCAGAAAATCTTTAAAAGTAAAGTGCATATTGTTTACCAGATTTGAAATTTTTTCCATTTCCATGTTGAAAGATGTGTTACTGTAGCTTGTCAAGCTTGCAAAGAAACACGCACGCTAACTCTCGATTCCCGCCTACATTTTGGAACCAATTGATTCAAATTGAATAGCAATTTGGCCATAAAATCTTTGTTTAATACAAAGAACAGTTCAATGGTAATTGATAAATCGTCCTAATACCAGTGCTGAACAGTAAATTTTCCATAATTCCAGCTCTTGAAAAAAAGGGGGGTAGACGATATTTTCCATTGAAATGGGAGTTTCAAGCATCAACGTATTTTGTAATAGTCTTGGATATGATTAAATGTTCCTGATATCTTTTCTTATGTTTTAGGCAAATAAATAAAACAAAGAAACATTTCAATAAAGTATAATGTTTCAGTTGTATATCGCTTTGAAATTGGTGGAAAATAAGCATTTTTATCGTTTTTTGTCAATAAACATATGTTCCCCCCCCCCCCCCCTGTCACACAAAAAGCTTTGGTATGAATTTGTGAAATACTATTCCATATTACCTGTAAAAAGAATTTTTGGTGACACGGGGGGGGGGGAGGAAGATGTTTTAAAAATATTTTTTGTTTTCCATTGATTTCTATAGTGAAAAACACTAAGTTTTACCAAAATTTTAGAGTTATCTCTCTTTGTTTTTCCAAATAAGTGATGTTTTATGAAAATCTATAAAAAATATAAAAAATTCATCAAATATGTTAACTTTTGAAAATTGACTTGGAGGTAGGCGGGAGAACAATACTATCGTTCGCAGTTCTTATCAGTCTTGACATCTCTGAATTAAATTGTTTTAGAAATAATAATTCCTAAGTGAACAAGAGGCCCATGGGCCACATCGCTCACCTGAGAAGCTTTGACCATTCTGTTCTTTACCAGATTTCCTCCTTGTAATACATAACATCCCCACCCTACCCCACTGATCATAATTCAGACATTTTGAAATCTACACTACCCCAGGATCCTTCCATGTGCACATAAGTTTCAACTTTTCTGGCCCAGTGGTTCTTAAGAAGAAGATTTTCAAAGATTTTTCCTATATATTTCTATGTAAAACTTTGATTCCCCATTGTGGCCCCTCCCTTCCCCTTGGGGTCATGATTTGAACAATTTAGAATCTACACTACCCCAGGATGCTTCCATGTAAGTTTCAGCTTTTCTGGCCCAGTGGTTCTTGAGAAGAAGATTTTCAAAGATTTTTCCTATATATTCCTATGTAAAACTTTGATTCCCCATTGTGGCCCCGCCCTTCCCCCGGGGGTCATGATTTGAACAATTTAGAATCTACACTACCCCAGAGTGCTTCCACATAAATTTTAGCTTTTCTGGCCCAGTGGTTCTTGAGAAGCTTTTCTAAGATTTTTCCTACCAGTATATATTTCTATATTAAACTTTAATACCCCATTGTGGCCCCACCCTTCCCTTGGGGGTCATGATTTGAACAATTTAGAATCTACACTACCCCAGGATGCTTCCACATAAGTTTCAGCTTTTCTGGATCAGTGGTTCTTGAGAAAAAGATTTTCAAAGATTTTTCCTATATATTCCTATGTAAAACTTTGATTCCCCATTGTGTCCCCGCCCTTCCCCCGGGGGTCATGATTTGAACAATTTAGAATCCACACTATACCAGGATGCTTCCATACAAGTTTCAGCTTTTCTGGCCCAGTGGTTCTTGAGAAGAAGATTTTCAAAGATTTTTCCTATATATTTCTATGTAAAACTTTGATTCCCCATTGGGGCCCCACCCTTCCCCCGGGGGTCATGATGTGAACAATTTAGAATCTACACTACCCCAGGATGCTTCCACTTAAGTTTCAGCTTTTCTGGCCCAGTGGTTCTTGAGAAGAAGATTTTCAAAGATTTTTTCCTATATATTCCTATGTAAAACTTTGATTCCCCATTGTGGCCCCGCCCTTCCCCCGGGGGTCATGATTTGAACAATTTAAAATCTACACTACCCCAGGATGCTTCCACATATGTTTCAGCTTTTCTAGCCCAGTGGTTCTTGAGAAGAAGATTTTTTAATGACCCCACCCTATTTTTGTCTTTTCTTGATTATCTCCCCTTGTGAGGGGACTTGGCGCTTTATTTTAACAATTTAAATTTCCCTTCACTCAAGGATGCTTTGTACCAAGTTTAGTCAAAATTGGCCTAGTGGTTCTTGAGAAGAAGTCGAAAATGTGAAAAGTTTACAGACGGACAGACAGACAGATAGACAGACAGACGGACGGACGGACGGACGACGGACAAAATGTGATCAGAAAAGCTCACTTGAGCCTTCGGCTCAGGTGAGCTAAAAACAAGATGTGTTTGAGAAAAACTGATGCCCCTTGTGGCAGATTTTGGCAAAGATTAAAAGTTCTCAGATGTAAATCAAAGTCCAAAGACAAGAGATGAAAAATGTTGTTATCCAGAGAAAGGACTTGTTCAATGAATACCTATGAAATATGAAAGCTTGTGAACTAAGCATTGAGAAATTAAGGCCAGGGTAAAATCTTTTAAAGTATTGGTCAGACTCCAAGGTCAAGGTTAAAGGGTCAAATAAAACATATGCAGGGAAAGGCTTTGTCTTGAGAAATACATTTGAAATATATTAAAGCCATAGCTCCAACTGTTAAAAAATAATGGCAAATGTTAAAGTTTTTCCAAATTAGGTCAAAGGTCAAAATTTTTTTGTCCAAAGGAGGGACTTGTCAAAAGGAATACACCGGTGAAATATGAAGGCCTTAGTAGTAACTGTTCAAAAATTTTGTCCAAAGTCATATTTTTTTAAATGATTGAAACTCAAGGACAAAAGGTCAGAAATATTTATATCTATGGAAAGCAATTTTGTTTCAATGAATATAAATGTGAAAGCCCTAATATCAACTGTTTGAATGTTATGGTTAAAGTAAAGGTTTGGCATATTCTTGCAAGAAAGGTCAAGAGGTCATATATATTGGTACCCAAAGAATGGCCTTGTTGCACAGAATACACATGAAAAATGATAGGCATAGTTCCTTACAACAATGTTGTGGGCAATGGTAGAGTTCTTGCGGACAGACTGACAGACACTACAGACAGACGGAAAGGGCAATAAATATATTCCACTAAATCTTCAAATAGGGGGGCGTAAAAAAAAAAAAAAAAAAAACCAGATCAAGTATGCATTGTAGAAGTGATGTGATAATGTTTAAGTTACTATCCAGAACACAGTAGTATTAACCACGAGAGGCACTTTAAGCATGAGGATGTTTTATAGTGTCATCATGATAATGACATAATTAAGGTCTTCCGTTTCCAACGGAAGACCTACTACTGATTCTGATGATTAAGATTATTCTTATTATTCTTTTTTTTCCTTTTCCTAG